TTTTAGGTTAAACCTCCATTTTGGTCCCTCAGCTAATGTATAGACTCTCGATTGAGTCCCTCAACTCAAAAAATCCCTGATTTAGTCCCTATTATTTCCCATTTTCACCCCAACTTGGTCCTTCCATTAAATTTTTACTGACATGGCTTGTTAATTAATGGTAGAAGAATGACATGCCAAAAAAATTTTGACAAATAGATTTTATAGTATGGATAGATGAATGACATGGCAAAAAAACTATTAAGAAATTCCTTTTTTTTTTTCTTCCTCTCTTTTTTTCCTCTTTCTCGTTTTCTTTCTCTTTCCTCTCCCTTCCTTCTACTACTGTAAACCCTAACACATGAAACCACCTTCGATTTTCCTCACCAAATTAATTCATCTTCTTCCCCTTGATTTTACTCACCCCTTTCTCTTCTAGATCTACTGGGTTCAAAAGAACCTAGCAACTACTAGGTTCAATTGAACCAAGCAAAGCTGTTGGGTTTGAAAGAACCCAATCGTGCTGTGTTCGATTAAAGATTCCTTTCCTTGCTGCCGTTGTCAAATCACAAACCCAGATTCAAAGGTAAAATCCTTGGCCTCTATTAACGTAGATTCAAATTGATTGAGGAAGGCATAGGCAATGGATCGATTGTGAAGTGGCAAATAGCGGCTTGAAAATCCCAGTGGAAATTCATAACATAAATAGTTGCAAACATAGATTTTGATTGGTTTGGGTTTTTCTTCTTAGTATTTGATTTTTGGTCTTTTTTTAGGTACTTTGGTTAGGATGTTGTAGAAATTTAGGAGAAGATGCCTTGATTTTTCTAGGTTTTTTGGGAGGCTAAGAGGGTCAGTGACTATTTTAGGGAGATTCTGGGTTTATGTTTGTGTTATGCTTGGATTTGATGTTAGAAGGTGTTTGGGTTTGTAGAAGGTGAAAGGAAAAGAAGAAGAAGAATAAGCGGCTGTTAGGTTCATCGACCCAATGGCTGCTAGGTTCAAAAGAACTGAGTCATACTAGGTTCCTTCAAACCTAGCAAAAGAGAAAAACTAGAAGGGAAAATGTCAGATTTGGTGTCGAGGGAGGGATAGAGAAAGAAGGAAAATGAAAGGATGAAATTGTAGGTTTCATTGGGGGCAACTGCAAGTTTCATCTTTAGGGTTTGTAGAAGGCAAGGCAAGGAAAAAGAAGGAGAAAGGGAAAGTGGAAATTTATTTTTATTTTTTTGCCATATCATTATTTTTTGTCATGCTATCTTCCAACGTGTATTTAATATTTTGACATATCATCATGCTCCGATTAGTTAATGAGACACGTCATTGGATTTTTAATGGAAGAACCAAGTTGGGGCCAAAATCGTAAACAATAGGGATCAAATCAGAGATTTTTTTAGTTGAGCAACTTAATTGATAATCCATACAATAGTTGAGGTACCAAAATGGGGGTTCAACCTTAATTTTATTAATTTAATTAGTTAGTTACTAAAATTAGAGTCAAACTTTATTAATGTAACTTAATTGTTAAAAAGTATATTAAGTAGGGTTTGTCTAACCTTTGCCTTCAAGGTACAGGTTAAGGATGCAATAAATGTATATTTTTTAATAATTCACATTAAAAATTGTAAAAGTTAACATATATTTTAACATTATTGACATGTGGATGACTTTAATTGGTTAATTGATTAAATCAAAATCAGCATTTATGCTTTTAATAAAAATTAATTATGAAAATAAGCATTTATTGCATATTTACTTTTGCAGCAGCCAATGTGGAAAGTTAGAAGTTCGCAGGAAAGAGTCATAATTTTTGGCGACATAACTGGCAGCAGAACTGCATTCACCGACGGTAAAGTGGTATTGAAATAAATTTCTACTGAATAGAAGCATGCTGACATTATCAATATTTAACCCCTTTTATCAGAGTCTCAGAACATAACATGTAAAAATAGATTAATTTTATATTTGACTAGAACGAAGCTTAATGCTAGTAACTTTGTATTGTAAAGCCAGGTATCTCAAATATGGATGTCACATAACCTTTAAATTATAGCTTCAGCAAAACTAAGTTAAAAAATGACATGTGTGCATGTTTTTAACAAAATATATATATATATATATATATATGAAAACATAGTCCGTTTTAACTCTTCAAGGATTTTTAGTATATTTTAATAGCTTTAATGTGAAGCAAAGTTAATATTCTAAATGATTCACTTCAAAATGTGAAGTTGAGTTACTCCAAATAATTCGTTAAGTAATCTCACACCCATGTAATTATCCGAACTAAATTTATAATTATATCGTGCGGTTATATTAAGAAGTATATTTGTTAGCTTGTCCTTCCACAGTCATGCTTTAATTAATCATACTCTTGGACAGTGTTCCGCATAGCGGTTGTGTATAAATTAACGTTGGATTACGGAATATGTAATTAATATCACAGCTATATAATTTCAATCTCATGAAGAGAAAAAATACAAGTTTTTTTTTTTCTCTTAAAAACAGGCTTTTTCAATCCAGATGTTTGAGGATGATCAATTACATAAATATAAATAGTTTTAATGTGTAAAGTCATACTCTGATTTCTTTTTATGTTTCAAAATATTTCTAATCGAAGATATGATAGTTATAACGTCACATGACATCATAAACTTATAATATAATATGTTATTATATAATTATATCTCCTTATTTAAGAATCCACTCGTAATATTGTATACATATAATTGTTTAATGTCACATGATATTTAATTAAATATCATGTAATATTATAAATTTATAATTGTACATAATATTATAATTATAACATTGTAGATTTCTGCATTTCACATGCCGTGGCTCAGTGGCCACTTGCTGCCCTAAAGGACAGCCTGTGGTTTGCACTCTCAAGTCTCGGATTCAATACCTCCCACTAACACCTCTAACATACTAACCTCTAATCATTGCCTTTATTAAAAAAAAAAAGAAAAACATTGTAGATTTCTAATGATCTACTTATACAATGATTTGATCCCATGGTTTATGTTCGAGAATTGGTGCATACTTCTCATATGTACGATCTTTGCAGATAAAAGCAATAAATAAAGCCAGATCATATGTAAGCAACTAGAGATTCACATCTGTGTTTCAAAGCTGTGGGAATATTCTATGTCCAAAAGAAAAAAGCTTCAATTTCATTGTGATTAATCTATGGGAGTCAAACAAACTAAAGCTTCAATAAGATATGGGAGTCAAACAAAGATGAGCTTTTCGGGTTTTAACAAAATCATTGGGCTCGTAAAGATAAACACCATTTACAAACTAAAGGACATGTTAATTTTTTTTTTTTTGTAACTAAACCATCTTGAATTTAAGAGTCACATTAAACCTTGACTAATTTAAAGTAGTCACATTAGACTTTATAAGGTAGAAGTTTTTCCAATGCTTGTCGTTTTATTTACAACATTCAAACTCGATACTTTGTTTAAAAAAATTTGAACTCCTTCTACTCAAACCAATAAGTCATTTGTTAGTTGTCCACCATTTATTTGGTACCTCTTGGTCTCAAAGCACAATTTTTACTTCAAAGAGTGAATTATGCTAGCACTTCTCTGGCAATTGTTACGTAAGTGAACGCAAAAGAAATCTTAATTTTGATGTATTTAGGATAAGATATAAAAAATTAAATTTTAGATTTTGAACTTCCAATTAAATCTTACTTCAAAAATCATAAACTCATACTTTAAATTATTCATAAATATGAGTTCTAGGCATTCCTCTACCGCCTTCATGATAAGAAACCACACAAAAATCGAGTGAGGAAAAGCTAAAATGGTCATAAATTACAAAATACTAAACGATAACAACTTATAAAGATGCATATAGAATACCAAATAAAGACCTTTATGTTGGATGAAGACAAAAGGTTAGTTTTTATCTACCTAAGATCCACTTTAATGTCAAGAGTTCTTATCCGATCAGGTTTTCCACTTGCTTCCGTTTGTCTCATATATGTCACGCATTTCTTCCCTGGTTATCCTATTTATATCCATTTAAAAATAAAGAAGACCCTAATCCCCGTTTCAGCCGACGCACCATCTCTCTTCTGCCACACCTCCGATTAAGACCTCCATCTACTTCGATCACGAAACAACCACGGCTTGCAAACGGCTTAACCACCACCAAAGATCCATCTTTTCATGCTTTCTGCACTCCTTTCTTCTTACCAGATCTCTGACGAGGCAGCGTCGTTCATGACGCCGAGATGATGCCAAGAGCTAATTAAAGCAATTTTAGTCCTCAGAAAGATAAAAACTATCACAATCACCAGACATCGAATGGTCACGAAGAGCTCATCTAAGATATTTAGTGGTTCACTTGACATAATTTATGTTTTCATTTTCATGAGTATTTGCAGGTTTTCAAACCAAAAAAAAAAAAAAAAAAGTTTAAGTTTGACAAAGTCGTCCGTTTTTGAACATTCTGTGAAGCATGATTTCTTAAAAGTTCAGTTTAATCTTTGCTGAATTTTCATAGTTAAATCTTCTCAATCTCACTGAATTGAATTGCTTTACAATGAATACCTTGTCATCTTCTTTGCATTTTCTCCCTCTCTTTGGAAATATAAAATTTTCTGGAAGGAAAAAAAAAATTGTAATTCACATCAACTGATGAAGTTGCAATGCAATTTGATAGTATTGTTTAATCAATCAACTGTTTGATATACATTGGTAATGTTGCATTATTACTCACCTGTCAATGTATGTTGCTCACTTTCTAATTCATCACTAGTTAATGACCTGTGCAGTTGACCCAAAACCAAGGGTTCATCCGTTCATGGGTTAATCCCTTTATTTTGTTCGAAGAAGATTTGGGGTGACGTTATTCATATAGGAGGGATTTTTGAGAGGCTATGGAATATGCTAGTGAGAGGGTTCAAGTGGGAGGTGAGTGATGGTCGAAGGGTGGGCTTTTGGAGTGATAGTTGGGTGGGAGATAAACCTTTATGAGACTTATGTCCTAGATTATATGCATTGAGTATGAACCGAGAGGGTATGGTTAGTGAGATGGGGGATTGGGAAAGGGATAGATGGTGTTGGAGTATTGCATGGAGAAGGGAGAGAAGGGGCAGGGAGAGGGATGAAGAGGAGTTGTTAATGAAGTTGCTAGGAAAGGTTCGAATAAAGATTGGTGGGGATGATGGTTGGAGATGGGTGCATGATTCTAAAGGAAATTATGTAGTGAAGAAGGCTTATGAGTTCTTAGCTCCTTTGGAGTCTGTTTTGCAGGGCCAGCTTTGTAGATTGGTTTGGTGCAACTTAGTGCCATCCAAGGTATCTTTTTTTGGGTGGAGATTATGTCTTGATAGACTTCCAACAAAAGGGAACTTATACAAAAGAGGGGTAGATATGCAAGAAGGAAGTTTAATGTGTAGTTTTTGCAATGAGGCAATGGAGGAAATAGATCATTTATTTTGTACATGTAAGGAAGTATGGTTACTATGGGCAAAGGTACTAAATTGGTGGGGGGCGAAATCTGTGTTACCAAATTCAGTGGCAGCCATAGCTGAATTTTTCTGGTCTAGTTTTGGTAGGTTGGTTGGGAAAGAGATGGGTGCTTGTATGTTTTTAATAGTTTCTTGGTATTTGTGGTATTGGAGAAATGCTGTTGTGTTTCAAAATAATGGCAGCTTCAAGGAGAAATTGTTGGATATGGTTCAAATCAAGTCCTTTCTTGGATTAAATCTAAGAATACTGGCGCCATGTTCTCCTTTCATGAATGGACGGGTGCCCCAATTGCTTGTGCATTGGAGGTGCGGAGGCATAAAAAGGAACTAAAGAAGTATTTGAAGCTGAAACAGGGTCATATATGATCGGCAGTGGGGGCTTGATTGCTTTTGGCTGATGTGTTTTTATTATAAATGATGCCAGTTTTGCTAGGTCTTTATTATGATGGTTTAGTCTTTTATTATGTAAATGGGTTGGAGTACCCCTTATACTCGTATTAATAAATTATCTTAATTTGCTGATAAAAAAAAATTTGTTTGAAGAAAATATTTTTTAAAATTTTAATATTAATTTTTATTACACTTTACAGTTTACATAGTTATTTACCTTAAATCCAAACTCAACTCCATTGCTAAGAACTATACCATTATATCTTGCTCCTTCATTATTCATTTTTTTTAATAAAATGATTGGTGTATACTCAGTTTAATATATTTTTTGACACTCGTCTTGATTTAACTATTAATATATTATATAAATATAATCAATTCAGTCAATTCTTATATCTTTTTTGCATTGCTGCATCTTTAAATTTGTCTATCTTCAATTTCATATCACAAAACAATATTTTTTTTGATGAATATATTATATAATATATTGAACCAGAATGTGTATAAATTATTATTTATTTTTTTATATAAAAATTAAGAGATTCATTAATTGAAAATGCTTACATAAATATTTGAATGACACTATAGATTCTACGGTAGAAAAGTTGGTCAAGGACCTTATCCCAATCATGTCTTGAACTGCCGAAGCAAGTGCTACAACCCATTAGAGCCCAGCTAACCTTATATTAGTGTTGTTTTTCTTTTCTGTCACAAACAAAGCCTGATACAAATGCATCAAGGGAAGCAGGGGCAAAAACTTCCAAAAGTGAAAGAAACTCTCACAAAGAAGAGAAATAAGCAAAAAAAAGAAAAGAAAAAGGAATCTAACTTTAATTCATCCAATCCTCACCCGCCAAGGGAATAGAGACAGTGGATAGAGATAAAGAAAAATTAAGAGCGAAAGGAACGGAGGGGGCAGAGATGGGGGGACTAGGGTATGAACTTACATGGACAAAAAAAAAAAAAAGGAAAATCAAATTAAATTCTTGATGAGTAGTTTAAAGTGTGAAGTGAAAATGAGTAAATGAAATAAATTTTGAACTTGTAGATTAACTTGTTAGTCTCGCAGATTGTTAAGGGTAAATAAATGGCTGCAATCAAGTGACAAGATGTGAGATTCTATTAATCTGGCTAAGCATGATTATTTGCCTTTATGCATCTAAATATACATTCATTAAAGGAAGATAGGTGTATGTACATTCATTTTGAATTCATGTACATTCATTAGATACTGAACTTTGATGCACTAAAATCACCCTAACAAGTGTATTGGTCACTCCAAATAATATAATAATGAATAGAGTATCGAACCCACGAGAATTGTGTCTAATTAAGTACCAAAATAATTAATCTAAATTTATTTGAACTATCGAAAAAGAAGAAAGTTTAACTAAAAAAATAATAAAAGGAAAATAACAATTAAATTAAACCTAACCAAGATATGAGGTACTAAGACATTGATTTCACCATAATTAATCAATATAAATTCTAGATTAATATGCTAATTTGTTGAGTGTTATTACATGTGATAGCGGATTTCCCTAAATTAATTAACTAGCTTTCTCATTCACTTATTTGCTAAATTAATTATATCTTTATATAATTTTAAACAAACTAATGAGTATTAAATTCTATGGAAACCACTAACTTAAGAAGGGGGAGCTCCTAACTCTCTTTTCTTCCTCCATTATCACATGTGAGTTAATTACCTCTTGGTCTCATAGTCTAGCACACGGTTTGTATTATTATTTGTTTGATTTACACAATTCTTTCTCAAGTTCATGCATAAATCACTAAATCAATTGAAAGATGATTAGGCTTCCAATGCATTAAGTTCAATAATATAAACTCCTCGTACAAATAACTTTAATTGAAAGTATAAAATCATAAAATCTATACAAAATTTATTAGGTTACATCGTAACCCTAATAGAATAAATTAGTTCATAATAAAAATAATAAAATCTAAAATCATAGTTATGAATATAAGAATAACAAGGAAGAATAAAACACAATTTGAGAAAATTGCAATACTTGATCTCCTATTGTTGAATCCTCTCTCTTGATATTCGAGAATGCCCAAAAGAGGGCTGCCACCAGCCTCCACCAAGCTCCCTTAATTCTAAATTTGGATGGGTATTTATAAGGTTTTAGAAACCTTAATTAGAATAAAAGTAGGATTTGAAACAAAATAGGAAACTTGAATGTTGGATGCTGAACGTATAGTGTTGATACACAAAATTACGTGTCGACACAAAACAGGAAACAAAAAGTTTGATTCTAGACGATTAACGCATGGTGTTGACTCCCCCATTATGTATCGACACTACACTCGTGTGGACTCCTTTTGCAATTTCTTCAATGGTAAAATGGCAGATCTGTCCTCCAGCTTTTGTACAATGAGTATTTAGATCCCAAACTCAAGATTCATTCATTAAGGTCCCAAAGAATCACCCTTCTTCTTGCAATTCAGTCCCTCAATTTTCAAAAGATGTTCAATTAATTCCCAAAACTCTTTTTTTATGCATTCAAGTCTTTTTCTACACAAAGAATGAAAATCATGTAAAATCTCATAAAATTTATCCAGATATCAATAATATTAAAAAAAAATTTCATGTTAATATCTATATAAATTTAGCTCATCAAACTTAATCAAATAGTCATGTCCATTTGAGCATGCGCACCAAAAGACACTATGGCTTCTATAAAAGAGGAGGTTCAAAACACATTTAAATACAATTTACTTATTTTGTCATTCTTTCCTATTCATTTTTGAAAAGATTTTGATTCCCTCTGTCGTATCTTTGAGACATTTTGATGTTATAGTGATTTCGTTTCATGCCTCAAAACTGTTTTCTTTTCTTTTCATATTTTATTTGGCACCATGGCTTCTATAAAAGAGGAGGTTCAAAACACAGATGTGAGTCTTTAGTTTTATATATATGATCTATTTTATTTGTTGTTTCAATTTTGATCTGCAAAGATTGTACGTACGTATGTGAAAGGATGCACCAATCCTTGACCATAAACATTGGGATAAGATCATTGTACAGGAGGATTAGAAATATTTTGGAATATAGAAAGAAATCAGATCGAGACTCTACACATTAAAATTATTTATGGAATTCATCCTCAAACATCTTGATTAAAAAACTTTTTCTTAGGCCAAAAAAAAAGACCCCCTTGTTTTTTTCTCTTCGTGAGATTGAGCTGTGAGATTAATTACACCCTCAGTTTATTTTTAATATATCTAGTTTGAGTTTTTTGATTTTTCAAATATGAATTTAAGATGAAAATTTAACATTTATATAAACAGTAATTGAAAATTTTTTTTTTATCAAATAAAAGTACTTGACAAGAACTTCATATAAGAATTTTTTTTTCTAAATTGTTATTTATATAAGTTGTTAAATTTTTACTTAAAATTTATATCGAAAAGTCAAACAATCAAAGTAAGATTGTTGAAAATAAACGGAGGGTAAGACAACATTTATATACAACCACTACATCAAACACCACCTAAGAGTAAGATAAGCTAAGAAATGTACATCTTAGGCAATGAATAAGTCTTCCCACGTGGGGTAGATATATTATAACTTCTTTGATGTAGAGGCCTTTAAGTCAAGTCAATTAATTTCACTTTCATACTGGCTGGCTACATTAAATGTTCTTTAGTTTCCTTCTAATTTCCTAGATGTAGATGGGTTAGGCTTGAGTCGCTTAACTTGCTAGTCAATATAGCAAGTGGATTCAAATTAGAGCTAAATTCTTGGCAGCGTAAAGAAAAATAGGCTATTGATGGGTCATAGCTTATGTACATAAGAGATGTATATATAATTGGGCCTTGTTTCACGGCAAAAAGTAGAAAAAAAGAGAGTGAGATACATCAACTAAAATTCTTTAATTTTCCATTTCAACATAATGTCATTTATACAAGCCCCTTCACCATGCATGATCTTCTTGCATCTCTAAGAGTAAAAAAATCTAAACACAAGAACAAATTATATGGTGTCTTCTTTTGCTCACTTCTTGTTTTCCACTGTCTTGCTAGTTTTTTTCTTTCAACCATGTTTCCAACATTCATTGTGTCGGAGAGATGAGTGCCTTGCCTTGTTACAATTCAAGGAAAGCTTTGTCATTGATAAGCATGCTTCTTATGATGATCCGTTTGTTAAACTAAATCATTGTATAGGTAGATTAGAAATATCTTGGAATATAGAAAGAAATCAGGTTTTAGAGTTGTAGTGTGTTATGTTTCTGTACCTTTCATACTGTTAAAAAAAATTAACCCTCTTAAGTGGGGGTCATCTCCCCTTGATTGTGTGGTGTTTGTTCCACATCATCCTTACGTGTGTAAGTTAAGTGGTATATATGAAATTCCACACAACCCCAAATTAATCAGTTTTGGAGTTGTGGTGTGTACTATCGTTGTAATTTTTGTACTTTTCAAAAAAAAAAAATCAGATTGAGACTCTACACATTAAAATTATTTATCGAATTCATCCCCAAACATTTCAATTAAAAAACCTTTTATTGGGCCAAAAAAAAAAAACCCCCTTGTTTTTTTCTCATCATGAGATTGAGCTGTGATATTAACTACACCCTCAATTTATTTTTAGTAAATTTAATTTGATTTT